CTCTTTGCCTGTTTGATGCTGATTGGCTGAGTCCGTGTCCTCTCTGATCTAAAGGGCCCAAAATACATGTGTGTGAAAAGAGAGGGACTGTGGGTTTTATACTTGTTGTGAGGCTGTAACAAGTTCATTGATTAATCGTTACCAATTATTGAAAGAGAATGAAATCCTTTTTGAACCTTCCATGGACCTAAACATGTGAAAAGAGCTTTTTTTTAAACATATTTTTTATTGCGATCACATTCATAGATTATGTTCATCACATCATGTACACAACATTGTTTCTCTAATTTTACACATTCTTTTTTTCCCTTTCCCTTTGCCCTGGGTGTCCCTTGTGCACCAAGATAACCGTAAAAAATAGATAAAAACACATAATTAAAAATAAAAACTTGGTTGGTAGATGGGGGAAATGGTCGTGGAGTTTCAGCCTCTCGTTGAACACCACATGGCAAGTTTGCAGGCTGGGATTATAGGCTCCATCTTCAGGGACTTCAGGGCAAGACAACAGAAGAGATAGCGCCCCCTGTACTTTTCTTTGTGCTTTTTGACTCAGATACTGCTACAATAACTGCAGGATGAAATTAAAATGTCTTTATTTCTTGTGGCGCCGCCTGCATCTCCTTGTGTTAAAAGTCCTATAGTTGGCTTTTCTTAATTTCTCTCAGTCCATCCTATGCACATGTGTGACAATAATTTGGGTGATACACGAAACAACACTCGAAACTTAGAAATCTCAGCCATTTCTTGCATGATTTCACCTCTATTGAAATCGCTGGTGGGCGACAGTAGCTCAGTTGGTAGAGCCCACTGTAAGACCTACTTCACGACTCCCACTGATGACTGCTGTCGTTGTGTCCTTGGGCAAGACACTTAACCCCACTTTTGCCTGAAGCCCCAACTGAAAGATCTCAGCTCCTGTAGACTCACCACCTGCAGGAGGGTCAGTGAGGGGATGGTGCTCTGTGGACTAGGATTACTATGGCAACACATCATCAGTAGGGTAAAACTAACCTGTTTCACGAAGGTCTATACCCAGCTCACGTTCCCTATTAGTGGGTGAACAATCCAACGCTTGGTGAATTCTGCTTCACAATGATAGGAAGAGCCGACATCGAAGGGTCAAAAAGCGACGTCGCTATGAACGCTTGGCCGCCACAAGCCAGTTATCCCTCTGACTGCCACCCCCCGACCCAGAAATGGATTAAGGGGAAGAAAATGGATGGATGGATGAAATGGCTGGTTCTCTGCTCCTTCCCCTGTGAGCCCGCCTGACCCCACCCAGACGGTGATGTAGCCTCAAATTGTCTTTGCAAACTACTAAACAATTTAGCCTTTGCCGGCACATAATCATTTCAGACCTGAGAATACACTTTTTCCAACAATAGCAACCCGTCACTTAGAGCCCTATGTTCTCGATCCAGAATCAGACCTTAATTATTTAGTGAACAGTGGATTACGACTTTTTACTTACAGATGTATGCTGCTCGTTAGCATCTTTTATGTTGGGGATAACACAGGTCAGCTTTTGAGTAAGTCCAGTTTCATGGTAAACAAGCAGTCTTTGGTGAAGTGTCACTTTGCAGAAACATACATTTGATGACTGTAATGTCCTTGAGTTTGGAGTTTCTCAGTCTTGTTTTAATCGTCTTCAGTTGGTGCAAAATGCTGCAGCAGCTTAATAACAAACACACCCAGACGTAAACACATCACCCCTGTACTTTATTTCCTACATTGGCTTCCAGTTTTGTTTCGAGTTGATTTTAAAATTTGTTTGTAAATCCCTCGATGGTCTCGCACTCCGTACTTGTCCGAACTCTTGACTGTTCGTGACTCAGATCATTCAGGTCATCATCTCAACTCAACCCCGACTCTGGAACAAGCTGCCCCTGACATGCGTGTCCTTACTGATTTTGGCCTTTTTAAATTGAGGCTCAAAACATAATTATTCAGACTAGCTTTTAACACTTTTAACACTCATTAGCGCTGTGACAGTTTTTAAATGAATTTGAATGGTTTTATTGTTTTAATGCATACATATTTTGATAGATTTTATGTTATTTTATTGTGAAGCACTTTGGTCGCCTCGAGTGCTCTAAAGGACTCAATGAATAAAGTGGATTGATTGAACATATTGATTTATAAACATAGTGGTCCATTAGTGTGTTGTGTGTGTGTTGTATAAAAGTGTGTGTCATTAATTACCGGCCACATGAACTAAACTAACTATTGGCTTGTGATCCGTTAATTGTCCTGGTTGTGTTCGCAGCCCATTAATGGGACTGACCTCTTTTAGACTCCACATTATCACTGCTTTCAATCTCTCTCCATCCCACGCTTTTCCATTAAGGCTTGTTTTGCTCCTGGGCAACAATTAACCCCATGTGAATTTTTCTCAGTTATTTTTCTTAAAACGCCAGCGTGAAATCTGTCCGAGTGGAATCTTCTGAATCTTAATCTTGCAAATCTGACATAATGAGATCATTGGGTGTTTGTGAAGGGAAGACACAGCTGAATATCACAACTTTAGGACTATAGTTAATTAAGTTTTGCAAGATTGGACGTGTTATAATGTTTTTGTATAGCACAGTTCATTCACAGTTCAAAAGCTCAAAGTGATCAAAACAAGAAAATATATAAAAAATACATTAAAAAGAGTGACGATACAATCCTTTAGTTGTTGAAGCAAAACAGAATTGTTCTAAAACCTGGATTTGAACATTGACAGAGAAGAAGCCTGTCTCACATTTTCAGGAAGAGTGTTTTTATTTTAGCAGCATGAATCTGGAACCCTTCCTCCTCCATGTTTGGTCCTGACTCTGGGCATCAGCAGGAGGCCAGTCCCTGTGCTCCTCAGAGTCCCACAGGAGTTCAGACCCACAGGAGTTCAGACCCTCACCGACAGGAGTTCAGACTCACAGGAGTTCAGACTCACAGGAGTTCAGACTCACAGGAGTTCAGACTCACAGGAGTTCAGACTCACAGGAGTTCAGACTCACAGGAGTTCAGACTCACAGGAGTTCAGACTCACAGGAGTTCAGACCCGCAGGAGTCCAGACCCAGATTACAGACTGAAACAGCTGGACCACACTGTCTCTGGTGCTGCTTTGATGTTGGAGGTTCCAGTCAGGACAGACAGGTCTGAGCATGTGCTGCCCCCTCCCAGGACCCATCTGCTCCACGTGCAAGACCCAGCAGTCCTCTGTGCGTTAGCAAGTGACTAAAGCACAATTTAATTCAGGATAAATCAAGTATCTCTCTATCTATCCAGTCTGTATCCAGCAGAAAGTCAGAAAAAAGACCCTTCGCAATGATTGGTGGTGGTCGGAGGTACAGTATGTATGCAGTGAATGAATGAGGCCATGTATAGCACAGTTCATATACAAGGAAACAATGGCATTAAAAAGTCTGGTGTTTTTTATTTTATTTTTGGGGATTTTTTTTAAGTGTCGTTTTTTTTAAATTATAGGCCTTTACCAAGTGGGTAAGTGTCTAAAACCAAGTGAGATGCCCCAAGGAGGTAGATTTCAGTTCCAAGCTAGATATGGTGACTCAAAATATGATCTACCAAATGTTTGAGGGTTTAAAAGGGTTAAAATCATAAATAATCACTGTAAATCCTTCAGCTGCACATTACTGTTTGTGTCAGAAATAGCCCCATGTGACGCTGTATGTCTCCTGCCGCCCGGACTCTGATGCTCTACTGTATATTTCATCATCTCTTTCTTCTCTCTCTGCTTTTTTCCTCGGTGCATAAGACATGTGTAGAGACCCGCGGCGCCCGGAGCATCTCACAAACGTGCGTGTGGGAAACGTGCGATTGTTGTGCCGTGAACCCCTGAGTGTGTGTGTCTCTGCTCCACTGAAGGAACACCAGGACGATAATGAGCTCGCCTTTTACGTCTAAATGTCATGTGTGCGCCGAGATGCCCCCACAATGCAACACTGCACCCTTTTGTACTTGTCCTGCAGAGGATCGGGAAAGTGAAAATGTAGGATCCAGATTGTATAAAGAAAGGAGGAAGTAGTTACGACGCAAACGTATATGTATATATTTATCTCATTAAAGCAGGAATGTCCAAACTCAGGCCCGTGGGCCAATTGCGGTCCGCTGTGTCATTTTTTGTGGTCCTCAGATGTGGACTTTTTTTTGGTTTCTTTAGTTCATTTGGTATTTATTTTCACTGTGGCATTTATTAGGTTATATTTAGGTGTTCTGCGTTTGGGTCCTTCCTTGTTTTGAAAGCGCCATCCAGCCAACTTCAGCTCCACACAGAGTCAGAAGTCGTCACGGTGGCATAATGGTCAGCAATATTGAGTCTCGGCAAAAAGGCCTTTGGTTCAAATCCCAGTAGGAACAGGGGGTTTGCATGTCCCCCCCATGTATTAACATATTAGTATTTACAGACAATGGTCCAATGGCTCCTATGTGTTTGTTATTATTGTATTTCCCGTGTTCAAACTCTTTATCATCAAAAACTGAGCTCTTTAAACAATCAATGACTCTCCTGGCCCCTGGAAAAAGGCCATGTTCCAGCTTCTTCTCTCTGACAGAAGATCTCGTTCACTAAGATGCAGGACATGGAAGAGAAACTCGCCGTATTCTATTATAATGTGCTTCCCTCTGGTCTCTCTTGTCTCTCTCTCTGGTCTCTCTCTGGTCTCTCGCTTGTCTCTCTCTCTTGTTTCTCTCTCTGGTCTCTCTCTTGTTTCTCTCTTGTTTCTCTCTCTGGTCTCTTTAGTTTCTCTCACTGGTTTCTCTCTGTTCTCTCTCTGGTTTCTCTCTGGTCTCTCTCTGGTCTCTCTCTGGTCTCTCTCTGGTCTCTCTTTAGTTTCTCTCTCTGGTTTCTCTCTGGTCTCTCTCTTGTCTCTCTCTTGTATTTGGTGGACACAGGAGTACTTTTGCACATGTATTCCAGCTGCTGTTGTGATTTAGGTTCATATCAAATCAAATAGAATTGAATCGAGGCAGATTTGACTGAAAGCCTTCTGTCTCTGTGCAGCCTCCTTCTATGGTGACGGCTGGGTGCAGCTCAGAGCCACAGAGCAGAGGGACCAGAACAGTCTGAGGCTGCGCTTGAGGACCTCGCGCTCCGCTGCTCTGCTCTTCGTGGCCGCGGGACCGAAGCACTACATTCTACTGGAGCTGCGCGCTGGACGCCTGCAGGTGGGGACTAGCTACAGCATATGACCGCACACACACACACACATGCATACACACAGACATACACACACATGCATACACACACACACACACACACATGCATACACACAGACGTACACGTGCATTAAGATTACGTGTGTGTTCATCCGTCTCACAGTGGGGAAATGTCAGTGTAGCTATATGCTAGATAAGTGAACAATCCCTCTATAACAAAAATCTAATAAAATAAAAGAAGCCGTATATAATTCGGTAGCTTATTACAAAAGCAAGTAGAACATCTCTGACTACCTATAATACAGTTCTGTGTTTACATGTGTACATTAGCAGCATGAGGCTCTGGGACTCTGACTCAGTAAAGTGACAGTAACACTTGTGGTTCTCTGTTTCACTTCAAGACATTAGTTGCGCGACATGTCGGGTCAGGTCGGCAGTGTTGGTTAGTCCTCATTGTTGTACAGTCTGACAGCAGCAGGAAGGCATGACCTTTGGAACCTCTCCTTCACACAGCAAGGGTGGATCAGTCTGTCACTGAAGCTGCTCTCCAGAGCAGAGAGAGTGTCCTGCAGGGGGTGACAGTCATGGTCCAGCATAGATGTTAGTCTGTTCAAGACCCTCCTGTCCTCCACCTGCTGCACTGTGTCCAGGGAACAGCCCAGGACTGAGCTGGACTTCCTGATGTTCCAGCTTCTTCCTCTCCCTCTCTGTGATGCTGCTGCTCCAGCAGACCACACCGTACAAGATGGCTGATGCCACAGAGTCATAGAAGGTCTTTAGGAGTGGCCCCTGCACTCCAATAAACCTGAGCCTCCTCCTCAGCAGTAGAGCCTCCTCAGCAGTAGAGCCTCCTCCTCAGCAGTAGAGCCTCCTCAGCAGTAGAGCCTCCTCAGCAGTAGAGCCTCCTCAGCAGTAGAGCCTCCTCAGCAGTAGAGCCTCCTCAGCAGTAGAGCCTCCTCAGAAGTAGAGTCTCTTTGAAGAGGGCGTCTGTTTGAGTTCAGTCCAGTTTGTGATTTAGTTGAACACCGAGGTTCTTGTAAAAGTCCACTCTATAAAGCAGTTCAACTTTGCAGCTGGATCCCGCCCGTGCATGCGTTGTGTGTCAGTGCATACACACACACACACACACACATACACAGACACACACACACAGACACACACACACACACACACACTAACTCTCAGAGACATGTGCTGGCCTCCTGCAGCCATTGCACCCTCTCCGCTGACAGCATCAGTCTCTCTGCTCTGAAACAGAAGCAGACAGCGGTGTGGAAGCTCCAGCGGTCACTTCCTGTCACGGTCGCAACGCAGACAATCCCTCGTGTTTGCAAACTCTGAGTCAGATCTAAAGAAATATTATGAATTATTTATTTATTTCTGGCCCTAAACTGTATAATGAGGCTGTGGACTTCATGTGGTCTTCTCCTCGACATGGCCACTGCTTTGACTTGGTTTTGAAAAGTTCTGAATCCGAATCAGAATTTTTCTTATTGCCATTGTTAGTAAACTTCAACAAAATTAAGATTATTATCCATATAAATCTGCTGTTTTGTGTAACGTAATATATTGGCAGCTATATTTAGACCCCACACTGTTTTCAACTAAAAGAAATGCTTTCCTCTCACCTGACAAAATATAACGATGAGAGCTATTTTCGATCCAAAGCAGAGTCTAAAGCCTTTGAGAAACACACACTTCTCTCAGCAGTAACGCATCCAAGACACAAACGGCGACAACGGGAAGTTTTGTGCATTGAACTTGATAAATCCTTGTGACTGACCATCTTTCCGTGTTATATTTGAGAGTGAGTCATCGAGGCTGCTTCGCTGAGCACAAAGGGGAGAGTACAGAACAGTAAAAGGACAATTACTCTTGTGTTGGAATGTGGTGAATATCTGTTTGTTAAGTCTCCACATGACAATACACCACAGATGTACTTTTTATTTCATATTGTAACGTCCTGGCTCGAGGTAATGAATGAGACAGTGTTCTACTTGTTTTAATACAAGATGGTTACTGTCGGCCGTAACCACGCCAATACAAGTCCACAACTTAGCAGAACAACAGCCCGTCCGCGTTATATCAAAACAATCTTCTCTAACCCCCCCAGTAGGCCCGCCCCTCCATCCTCAGAACCAATCCTGTAAGTGCACTAAACCGTGAAGAATAACATGAAATAACAGCATTAACATAACATAAATGCAGGGTCGCTACAATATATTTCATATTCGAGTTGATTCCAGTTTTTCTCCTTCTGGTTGGATTTGAGAGAGAGACTAGCTTTTATACACAATATATGTTTAAGATTGTGTTTCATAATTGTTGTGTATTTTTGATGTACAGTAGAGAAAATCTCAACCGGGGAGATGAGAACTAACATTAGCGTTAGCATTAGCGTTAGTATTAGCGTTAGCCGTAGTTTAGCATTATCAGTTGCAACTTTAGCTGTAATTAGATAACACTTCTTTCTGTATATATTTGACTGCATTGTCCCTGCTGAATAAAATATGAATAAAATATGAATAAATACAAGTAATAAAGAAATAGTTCTGTTCCTATAAATCCTTCGTGCATTTGAACCGATTGATTCTGTGATCTGTGTTGGCAAAATCAATGGTTTTGTAAAGTTCTCAGAGATAGCTACTGTTGTGATTTAGGTCTAAACAAGAAAAAATTGAATTTATTTATTTATTTGATACAGGGACAGTGCATATTAATGAACATTTCTGTAAATATGCCAGAATTAGCCAAGCGGGTATTTTTAATCTGTAGTCCCGTTATGAAATCTCACACCGTGTCTCCTGAAAGATAAAAACATGTTTGCTACACAAACAGTTAAAATAATGTGAGCTATTTACAATATATTTACAAGCAAACGTTCAGTCACACCTCATTCAACAAGCGATACACAAACATAAGGAGAATAATTGAATTGATAAAAGCAGATAAAGTGACTCGTGGATGTGACTTTAGGTGATATTTGTACTTTTATTTTTGTTTTTGAAGTACCCCAAACTGCAGTGCTTCTTCCACCAGTGGGAAGGACTGGCACAGGTCACTACACAGTCTCGTCGTCGGTCTCTTGTAGTGGCGTTATCTCCGGGTGCGAGCTTAGTCAGACGTGAGTGTGGTGAGCTGGGGCCCGCACAGCACAAGCCTTGACAAGCTCGTCACCGGAGCGAGGCTTTAGCTGGAGGTAGTGACACGGCGCTCAGAGGACGCTGACAACCCCCAAAAGATAATCACAGACTTCCTGCTCAAAAATCACACTTGTATAAACAGGTGACCTCATGTGTGTGTGTGTGTGTCCATTCACAGCTGTCTGTCTAGGTTCAGAGTTAGCACTTCTGGTAGCACTTTAGATTAGCCTTCACTAATCAACAGCTAGTTATGTGCTAATTGTTGTATAATGAATGGTTTATTCGATCATCTTTGGTATTTATCTACATGGTCTTGTGTCTTGTGTCTTAGTCTTATTCATCATCTAACTAACTACTAACTGACACTTTCACATGTGAGCTAGTTGTGGCTGCCGGATTTGTCCCGGAAACCGGATTTGTCCAGAAGTTCAATTTGTGCATGTCAAAAATTGTAAATAAACATGTAAACAGTTCGTCTTGTTATATACAGATTATATTATTGATTTGTCCTCATATCTATCAAGGTTCATTACGAGAATAGCGGAAAAAGAGCTCAGAGAAAAAAAAATACTTTTAGTAGCCGCGCAGCTAGCGCCCAGATGCGTTCAAAGGCACACGGAAATGAGGCAAACACAGACAGTTTAATTCTTGATTTGATTCACTGTCTCGTACATTCATACATACATACATAGACAAGTCTCGTTGAACACATTTATGTATTAGTTAAACAAGTAAAGGACAGTGAATCTAATCAATAAATAAAATACAATTGCAGACATACACTTAATAATATTAATAATGTATGTAATACTAGTGATTGACAAATTAGTTGGAAAGTGAGGTACCCCAGCTTTAAGGACCAAAGTGGACACACACACAAGGCAAGGCAAGTGTAGTGCGGTTCATACACAAGGCAACTTAACCCTTTAGGCGCCAGAGTTTTTTCAAGAAAATATACAATTTTGATTTCAAGATTTCAAAAGGCTATAACTTTAAAATGGTTTGAGATAAAGGCATACTGTAAATTAGAAATATCTTCAGTTTGAACCAAACTTTGGGATGGAAGTTGATTCGTCATCTAATTTGCATATTGTGACGTCATCAAGGTGGCGGCCATTTTGGAAAATGTTAATTATTGTATAAAAACTTCAAAAAGCTGTAGCTTGGGAGTTTTTTTTAGATCAGGGAATACTATAAACAGTCAGTGTGAAATATCTTTAGTATGAAATGAATTTGGGATAGAAATAAATTCCCTGATCCAGATTATAGATAATGTTTTAGCACTGGTTCGCGGCCATACAGAATTGTATTATTTTCATAGACCTTCAGTGATCAAGACAGCTCTCTTTATAGTTTACAGTCATGAAATCTGGAGTTTGGTTTCAATATTTCCCTTTCAAAGAAGTGGTGGGCATACTATTTTTCTCGGTGGAAATGAGGCTCCTGGATTTATGGTTTAGAAACAGAGAGATGAAATGAATGGGCTCAGAACATGTCAGATCGTCTCAACAAGCAACAACAGGCTCTTCAACACTTCTGATCCACTTTTGTGGATTATTTTCTCTCAAGAACTGCCTTGATCCTCATCATCACTGTTGGTAAAGGCAGTGAACGCGAAAAGCGATGTGTTTTATTCCCGCGGCTCTCCCGCGTCTCCCGTGTTCCCCGTGGATGTTTACCCCCGCTACTTTCTCCCACATGCCCGGTGTTATGATGCCCCTGTACCCTCGCCTCGACCCCGGCCCCTGCTTGGCGTTCACAGAATGCTTCTACCGCGGCCACACGGAGGACAAGCAGCCGCTGCACAGGGGCTGATTGTGGACTATATGGCGCGGTCTCCCCGTCACCAATAATGTCCGTGACTGCTTCACTGGACACCTGTGTGTCTTCCTCCTCTGAATCTGAGTGAGCCAGTACCAGACCAAGTACTTCTCTGGTACTGAAGACCTCGTGAGTAAAATAAAAAACTCTCTCCCTCTGCTCTGCTCTCGCTCCTCTCAGCTCTACCGCTGCTGCTTCGCCTCCGCGCTGCTGCGCCGCAGGTGTTTTACGAACTCAATTTACTCAAAAACTTTCAATATAACCACACCCACAAATGCTGCTCATATTACAGGCACACATGTCCACTAACCCCTGGTGAAAAGTATTAACAAGATTCTGCACCACATTTTTACATACAGCCTGTTTAAGTGAGCAATGTTGCTTGTCGCAATATTGCGACTTTGGCGCTTAAAGGGTTAAAGTGCTTAACAAAACAAGATTAAAACAATCACACAAAAATACATTAAAATCATAAATAATCACAGTACATACACACAAACACACACATAGAAATACTTATTCATTTCTGCTTTGTCTTTCAGCTTAAACTGGACGTTGGATCCGGGGAGTACACATTACAGTCAGAGAAGGCCTCGCAGCTCAATGACCTGGCCTGGCACTCTGTGGAGGTCAATCATATGGAACAAAATGTCTCCCTGACGGTGGACAAGCACTCTCACAGCAGAGTGACCATGGCGAGCTCCTCCTCCCATCCTCAGCTGAGCACTCTGGATAGCCTCTACGTGGGTGGCTCCGGGGGTCTCCACAAGCCCTTTTTACACCCGGACATGATCGGGTTCAGAGGCTGCATGGAGGACGTTCTCTTCAACAAGCATGACCTGTTGTCCTCCCTCCGGCCGTACACTGGTTTGAAGACCGTCTATGAAGTGTCTCTCGGCTGTAGCCCTCAGTTTTTTGCCACGGAGGATGACCCTGTAAGCTTCTTCAGCTCTCGGGCCTACGTTTCCCTCCCCCCTCTAGGCTCCCCAAAAGAACTTGTCTTCGAATGTGTCGTGCATACGTCTGCCAAAGAGGGGATTCTCCTCTACAATTCCGGCAGGGAAGGCGATTTTGTAGGACTAGAGATTCGGGATGGATTTCTTGTAGCGTTGGTTGGAAAAGGTGGAAGCAAAACTGAGCTACGTTCAATGACATTTGTCAGTGACAGAAAATTGCATGCTGTCAAGTTGATCTTGGATTTGCAAAGCCTTAAGCTCAATGTGGATGGCTCTGAAGTGAAAGCAGGCCTTGTCTCTCATTCTGAAGAGCTGCAGCTCAAGGGTTACTTTTATGTTGGTGGCACAGATGACAGCACCAGGTTAGAAGCTAAGAAAGCAGCTCTGACCTCTGTGTCTGGAAAACGGGTCAAAGGAGGTTCTTTTAAGGGATGCCTGAAAAATATTGTAGTTAATGGCGTGAAGATGGGTCTCTCCAGCGCTGTAGTCACTAGGGACATCTCTGTTGGTTGTGAGCCAGAGAAAGAACCGGATCAAGTTACCACTGTGAGCCCAACCAGTGCCCCTAACCTTATACACTTTGTCACACCTACACCTTCTATGCACATGTCTACACTGGCTAAAGGCCTGGACAGACGCTACGGTGCAAATTTTGTCCATCTTCGAAATCTTGTTGTCCCTGAAGGCGGTCGGGCCTCATTGGACGCTAAACACATTAAAATTCTATTAGATTTCAAGGCTCTTGGAATTCGACAGTCACAAATAATATTCAAAATCCAAGAGCAGCCGCTGCGTGGTCAAATAAGGCTGGATGTAGATCCAGAGCAAGAAGAAAACACCTTCAGCATGTTGGACCTCTGGCATGAGAGGGTCGTGTACATTCATGGAGGGTCCGAGGAGCCAGATGACTTCTTCATGTTTTCTATTTATTCAAGCAGCAGAAAATCTGTTCCGGATTATTTGAAGAACAACAAACTGTACCGTTACAACATGACCGTGACACCCACCAATGATGCCCCCGAGTTAAGCCTGCCTGAGGGAAATCTCTTTGTTCTGCTCGAAAACTCAAAGAGACGCCTCACCACGGATATCCTGAAGGCTACAGACATTGACAGTCCTAACGGCGAGCTGGTTTTTTCTGTTCTCGGAAACCTTAACGCAGAAGCTGGGTATTTGGAGCTCGAGAATAACCAAGGTGCAGCTGTCACCTCCTTCACCTATATAGATCTGGAGGAGCTGAAGGTGTGTTACGTCCACACCGGCATCAGAAACTCGCGAATCGTCTTCAGAGTGGGTGACGGAGAGAAGGTTAGCAACACGGTGGTCCTCCGAGTGCTTGCCATCACGCTGGAGTATAAGATCGCCAACAACACGGGTCTACAGGTCACGCAGGGAGACTGGGCCGTCATCAGCCCGGCGCATCTAGCTGTGCAGACCAACGCGGTGAAACAAGTCGTGGACATTCGCTACGACGTCATCGAACCTCCACAATACGGAGAGATCCAGAGGCTTCACTCCAGCGGCGAATGGAGAGCCACGGATTTATTCTCCCAAAGGCTTATTGAGAAAGAGCGACTGAGATACGTCAGCACTTATCAAGACATACAGACATACAATGCCACTGATTACTTCAAATGCAAAATTAACATAGCGGCGAGGGCAAATACTGAAGTACTTTTCCCGATCACAGTCAAGTGGGTGACTTATACGCTTGTGAGAAATGTGGTGATAGACCTGGATAAAGTTCGCAAAGTTACACTGAGTTCAGAAAACCTTTTTGCCGTCTCTGAAGGAGTAGATCTGGCTGAAGATGAACTTTACTACAGGGTCCTCACGACTCCAAAGAAAGGTCGACTTCTGCTGGATGCAACCGTTTTGAGTAAGAATACGAGTTTTAGTCAGAGAAATTTAACCGATGGCAAAGTCCATTATGAGTTAGTCGACAGGCCTTACGAAGACACCAGCGATAGATTCAAGTTTTTGCTCTTTTCAAAGCATGCCCAGTCACAGAACTATGATTTCCAGTTTTCAATCAAAGCAGACGTCAACAGCGTGTTTATGAAAAATGAAGGACTTTCGCTTTTGGAAGGAGAAAGCAAGTTGATCACGAGAGACGAACTGTTCGCGGAGACTCTGAGCTCCACCGATGTCTTTTATACGGTCATAAACGGACCCAAGCACGGAAAGCTGGCGCGCATAAGTCAATCCAATTCAAACGCAAGCTACACCAATATTTTGACTTTCAGCAACCAGGATATTTTGGAAGAGCGGCTCATGTACGTTCACGACGACAGCGAAACGACTGCAGATGCGTTGACGTTCATAGCCTCCACGTCGCAGGGGTTCAAATCTTCCATTGTAGAGGAGGAAGTCGGATCCAAGGAAGCTACGTTCAACATTTCAATCCAACTGGTCAACGATCAAAAGCCAGTGCGAGTGATCGATAAGGTTTTCCATGTTGTCAGAGATGGACAGAGGTTGTTGACCGCGGAAGACTTGCTTTATCATGACGCGGACTCGGATTTTGACGATTCCCAGCTGCTCTACACTCGGAGAGGCATTCCCATGGGAGATCTAGTCCTGGTGAATGACACGACGCATCGGCTTTTCCAGTTCCATCAGCGAGACTTGGAAGACAAGCGTGTGTTGTTCATTCACAAAGGCGTCAGCACCGGAAGATTCGTGCTCTTCGTCTCCGATGGAAAACATTTTGTATCCAGCTTGTTAGACATTAGTGCGGACGATTCGTTCTTGAGAGTTGGAAGCAATAGCGGTTTACTCGTCCAGAAGGGAAAATCCGTCTCTATTTCGACCAGTAATTTCAGCGTCGTGTACAATCTTGACATTAGAGACGACCAAGACGTTCTGTTTATAATCAACGAGACTCCCAAAAGTGGTGTCATTTACTGCAAGAAGGATAAAGTTAGCTCGTTCACGCAAGCTGATCTTAAAGCTGGGTGGATTTTGTATCAGCACAACGACAGCACACATCTGGCAGACCACTTCAATGTGACGGTCAAAGCGAAAGGACTTCAGCTGTCGGCAAAGATTCATATAAAAGTTTACCTGGAAAGTCATCAGAGACCTCCCATCGTACAGACGCAGGAGGTGGTGCTGGTGGAGGAGGGGAAACCGGTGAAGATAGATGAGACTAAACTAGAGGTAAGGTTATACACGACAAAAAGCAAAACCTTACACTGTATTATGCGCTATTAGTGATCTCTTTGTGATCTATAACGTAATTAGATCACACTAAGTAAAGTAAGCAGCTGAAGCAGAAATCTTATTAGCACTCTTAAAACTCAATTACAATCAAACCTTTCATATCACAATAAAAATAGTACAGAGCACAGGCACAAAGGCACACAAAACAAACATATGCACATCCTTGAGTATAGAATAATAAGATAGATATATAGATAGATAGACCTTTTATTGTCCCCTGGGGAAAAATAATTTCCACAGACATTGTCACATACATAGAATAAGGAGGAAGGAAGTTACAATACACACAAGAAACACAGAAAGAAACACATGCTATACAGGAACAAGGGCAAAATTACAGACTTAGTGCAGCTATGGCTGAAGGGACAAAACCTTAGCATAATTTTGCCCGCCTCCATTTTAATGTTCTGTATCTGTGTCCCGAGGGCAGCAGAAGTGGGTGTGGTGGGGATAAACAATCAACAGGTTAAACAGAATAAAAAGTAGATCATACAATTAGCCTGAAATCGGCAAAGAATTACGATCCAACTTTTGTTTGCGAGAATCTAACCTGACTGTGACCCGTATAGGTTCTAAACACTCGTATCTTTACTTTTTAACAAATAGTACATAATATTTGTCCCTACATGTTGAGTCTTTTCGAAGCTTTCCAAAAACATGCTATATTTTGCATATTTGGAAGACCCCTGTGAGTCACTGACAGTTTGAGTTGAGATTTGCTTAGTTTGAGTGATTGGTCCTCTCTCTCTCTCTCACTCTCTCTCTCTCTCTCTCTTGTCTGTCCTGAAAAAGCTGATACAAAAAAAAAAAACATTTGGGTTCTAGTGATATCACCCAATCTTATTATGATCCCTAAACGAAAAGTAGGACTCCAATGGAATACTGCAAAAAATAATCAAATTTAATAAACAAGAATCTAAAAACAAAAGTCAAGTAACAGTAAAAGACAAGAGCAGGGAAGGAAGACAAGAAGTAAGCAGTGAACACATCATAGACTTACAACAAGAGGGAGACACAAGTGAAAGATTAAGGCAGGGCCAGCAATCAACAGAACTGAATAGGAAGAACAACACAAAAGACCCAATTAATCAAAATAAAACCAGATAAAAGAAAATAAAAAGTCTACATCTTGACAAAACAGGCCCCAGCTTTATCCACTGTTTATCTGTTAAATCTGGCATGACTGAACAGGACCTGTCTCTTGTTATTGTTTTAGATCAACATTGAGATTGTACTAAACACATAAATAATGAGGTTCATTAAAAACGGTAGTTAAACCATCCACACCCTCAGCAAAGTCAGCAGTAGATTTTTGTGACACACGACTTAAAGCACGAGGCAAAAACAGTCCGTAAGCATCAAATCACCAAAAGCAAGACGATATATGTTTAACTCATAATAACTGCATTTCCAAACACAAGAAAGATTTTATTATTTTATTGATCATTATGTGCACGATATCATCATCTATATACTGTATATCTATATCATGTATCAGCATTAGCGTCATAAAGAAGTATACAATCTCTACCCTTATGCCAAAAGGTTTTACTGTATACTTCTTTATTATGCTAATTATAGATTATAGGGGCTCAGTTGGTAGAGCATTGGCCTTAGAGCCTGAAGGTTGTGGGTTCAAGCCCACCATAAGACCTACTTCACGACTCCCACTGATGACTGCTGTTGTTGTGTCCTTGGGCAAGACACTTAACCCCACTTTGCCTGAAGCTCCCACTGAAAAGATCTCTGCTCCTGTGGACTCACCACCTGCAGGAGGATCAGTGAGGGGCTGGTGCTCTGTGTACGGGGTGCAGCTCTGACTGCCACCCACGACCTAGAAATGGATTAAAGGGAAGAAAATGGATGGATGGATGGATAGTTTTTGTGCATGTATCTTGTGCTGTGTGCTCCTCATTCCTACTGTTCTGTAACCGGTGATGCAACACTGACATTTCCCCACAGATATGTAACTATAGTAACATGAACGTTGAAATTAACTCTTTGCACACAGGGGAAACTGTTGGTTAAGTTTGCTCTTAGAAGTGGTAAATGACTTGATTTGATGATTGCGCCAAGAATCAACATTGTTCCATAAAAAGCTTGGTATTTCACAAATATTAGTTTCACATTGTAAGCTGAATCACAGAAGTAAATACACTGTAGACTCACTGTAGATATTCAAATTAAAATCAATAATTTTTTGTATAGCCCCAAATCCTAACAGCAGTTATCTCGGAGGATTTTGCAAAGTTGTTGATTTGCAAACACCGATCAGAGAATCAAACAGTTCACACACAGGAAATGCAATGATTAAAAAAGACACAAAAAGAGCCATCGGTCCATAAGGAGCGGAGACCAATGTTCTTAAATGTTGATAAATGTCCTGGATCAGCACCACGGTCCTTAGATCCTCCTGCATCAGCAACGTACTAGTTTCGTCTGTGATAAGATAAGAGACCTTTTCTCGTCCCAAAGTCAGAAAAATTCCAAATACTAGTGTTTTACAGAAGCTCACTCAGTCTGATTGTTCCCTGCTTCACGCCACGCTGCACTGTCTCCAAACACAACACACACAACAGACATTTTCGTGGCACAGACGGCGATTTTTTCTCTAACATCCTCCGCTCGCAGGTGACTCACGAGGACAACCTGCCATCTGAGATCGTGTTCACGGTGAGAGAACGTCCCGCTCACGGCTTCCTCCGCCGCTTCCTCCCGGACCAGCAGCGCTACGCAGGGACCCGGGCCTCCCCTGTCTCCTCGTTCACCCAGGCCGACATCAACCAGGGCCTGCTCCAGTACCTGCACATGGAACCTCACACCTGCAACGACAGCTTCCTCCTGGACGCCACCAACGGAGTGACGGACGTGGGTGGCATCCGCGTGACAGTGGACATCATCCCGCTCCTCATCCCGCTCACGGTCTCTGGTTTCAGCCTGGACGAGGGAGGCTCCAAGGCGCTTACGCAGGAGACGCTAAAGGTCACCAACCGCCATTTCTCCGGGGTGGACTTCCTCTACGGTTTGACTCATCCGCCGCTGCACGGTCACATTGAGCACTCGCGGCACCCGGGGGTGGCTCTAACCTCGTTCACCAGGAGGCAGGTGGGTTATTTATACACACACAGTTTTATCTGGCATTCTGGGAAATTAATCTCTAAAGTATAGGGTTGTGCTGAAAAAAAAAACATACTCATTAACAGCTAAATAAGTGCTAATTAGTGTATAATAGATAGTTAAGTAGCTTCTAATTGGTATTTATTACACACTTATTAGTCCTTCTTTTACATCTAACTAACTACTAACTGACACTTTCCCATGTGGGGTCAGATCCATGCTGCTAAAATCTGGAACAATCTTCCTTAAAATGTGAGACAGGCCTCCTCTGACAATCTTCAAATCCAGGTAAAGTTCGGGTTAGCTGTGCATACAACTGAGGGATTTTATATTTTTTTGTAAGTACTGGGATTATTTTTGTTCAGCACTTTGAGTTGCCCTGTGTATGAATTGTGTTTTTTACGGCACGGTGGCTGAGTGGATAGCACTCTCGCCTCTCAGCAAGAAGGTCCTGGGTTCGAATCCCGGTCGGACCAGGGCCTTTCTGAGTGGAGTTTGCATGTTCTCCCCGTGTCTGCGTAGGTTTCCTCCGGGTACTCCGGTTTCCCCTACCACTAAAAATATGTCCAATAGTTCTGGCATGTGCCTCCTGTACTGGCGACCCCGCTCCCATCTCTGTGTGGAGTGAGAGACAAATGCCCCCAAAAAAAAAAAATTAACAATTGTAAACCGCTTTGAGACTCAGATCTGCAGTGAAAAGGCGGTATACAAATAAAGATTACTTACTTACTTACTTACTTCTTTATATAAACTTTAAGGCTAGGGTTAAGGTTAAGCACTGTATAGCACTTAATTAGCTGTTAATTAGTGAGGGCTAATTTAAAATGTTACTAAATTTAGATGAAATATCGATGGACCTAAACTAGATACAATACAGTTTTTTTATAGGGTCGCAGTAGTTGGTATTTTTGTTTTTGTTGTTTTCTCCTTTAAAAGATTTTTTTAAGGGACATTATGTAATAATTACAATTACAGATAGAGGACCACTTGGAGTACATCTTACATTCAGTCCCTTTAAATAATCATACATTGATTTGATATTTTACATCACAACATGCCATCTTCATATTTAAGCCAACAGGCTCAGGTAGCTAAGTGGTTAACACTTTCCCCTGGAAAAGAGCTTCTGAAAAAAAATGGTCATTTTCTTTCATGCAAACTGTTAAAAAAAGGAAAAAGAGCTCTGAGTCACTTATTGACATTTTAGGGTGAGAGCCGAGTGAGCGTAGTCCTCTCTCTTTTCTCTCTCTGGTCTCTGCTTTGGTCTCTCTCTCTGGTCTCTCTTTGGATTCTCGTCTCTCTCTGGTCTCTCTCTGGTCTCTCTCTGGTCTCTGGACTCTTGTTTCTCTCTGGTCTCTAGACTCCCTCTGGTCTCTCTCTGGTTTCTAGACTCCCTCTGGTCTCTCTCTGGTCTCTCTCTCTCTCTGGTCTCTTCTTTCTATGGTCTCTCACTGGTCTCTTGTTTCTCTCTGGTCTCCCTCTGGTCTCTCTCTGTTGTCTCTTTCTGGTCTGATCACAACTTTACCTCAGATGTTTTCAGTCTGAAAAACCTGATCCAAAGAAGTGACAGAGGCCCAAAAACACATCCATGTGAAAACTAGTGATAGTAACGAACTGTTTCGAGAGTGAAAAACTACTTTCACGGATGCCCCGACATCAATCCATTGCTTGTGTTTTGAAAGTCAGGTCCCCCAGCTTTAAGATCGCTGTGTCATTGCCTCACATAATTCCAGGTGGAGCATGAATACATCTACTACGTGCACGACGGCAGTGAAACCTCGACTGATAACTTCTCGGTGATCGCCAACGACACCGGTCTGAGAAAGCAGAGTCCGGAGCTCACGGTCCAAATCCACGTGGTCCCGGTCAACGACGAGGCCCCCGTTGTTACAGCCAACCGGGTCCTCAGGGTGAGTGCGGCTCCAGCTATTTTTAACCTTGTTTCACTTCTCGTCCTAGCATCGGAGCTCGCTGTGAGACGGTTTTTTTGTGCAGCAGTGGTGCTGTTTGCCATGGCTGACTGGTCGGATGGCTGCGAGGGGAAAATATGTTTGCTATGTGTAGAGGAGGGGAACGCGGGCTGGGGGCTGGCACAATGCACTAGTTACCCACCTGGGACTGGCATGGCTGTGGAAAGTCATTGTTTATGGACATCTATCTTTTTCATATTTTTTATAAACTGTAAAAATGTGTCGCACAAGTCTGGTCTGACTATAGGAATTTTGTGGGAGAAAATAATATGTATATTTGAAATGAGTAGGGCGTGTTGGTGCCGTGTGCGGTGACGTTCACTGAGGCTTCAGAGACGCGGATCCATGTTATTATAGATCCATGATGGCGTTCAGAGCATCGCTTTGACACGCATCTGTCTGTGTGTCTGCCTCTGTGAGTGCGTGATGTGCTAATTATAGCAAACAGAATTAAAAACGTCTCATTTAAATGAATGTGTTTCATAAAATCATGTCTGTGTCAGATCTTATCTGTGGTGAAATCAGACACATTGATAATGCGTGTGACATGGAACACGTTTGCTGCGTCATTTGCACATTGTCCCCTAAATCCAGGGGTGTCCCAATTCTTAGGGAGAACATCCTGGGAGCTCGAGGAACCTCAGAATTGGGACGGGGCCTTAGCTTTTTGTGAGTGTGTGCTGTTTGTGAGTGTGCGTTAGCTGTTAGCCTGCCCGTTAGCCGTTAGCCTGCCAGTCTGCTGAGCTGAATGATATGTTAGCAGAGCTGTAAATAACTTGTGACCGCCCGTGTGTCTGCGCTCTGCTCCGTACAGTGTTTGCATTATTTACAACCAGCCGGGGAAAAGTACTTTCTCTGCCATGTATTTTAAATGCCCTCCTCCTCCAGAAGCCGACGGAACCTGTGCCCAAAGTGTCCATTTGTGAAGCACTGGGGGCTTCAGGTTTTAGAGCACAGCGTTCACAGAGAAACCTCAAGACCCACCTTAGGCTGTGGTCAATATTTCATCAGGCTCTTGTCTCTGCTGCCTGTCTTCAGAATCTGCAGGACTCTGAAGGACTCAATCTGACACTAGGACCAACCAGAGCCGTCTTTTTGACTGCTCCTATTTAAACTAAATGAGTTCTGAGAAATTCCCTGAAACAAATATTTAGTTTTATACTAGATTTATTAAAAGTATGTAATTTATTAATATGTGTTTACCTTTACTCACTTTTATTAAGAGCTAAAACTGATGAATATTACTAAATTGCAGCAAAAACAGTTTGAGGCTATAGGCTAATGCTAACTGCTGCAAGTACATAGTGTGTTGCTATGGTAACTAGCACTTCTCAATTGGAAAACCAAACTGACAAGGCTCAGAACCAGAACCTGTCCAGAACCACTAGGATAAGTCCAGAATCAGCACTTGCAAAGGAGTACATTTGAACTCCTCACAAGAAAAAACATAATATAATTTGATTTAAAAAATATATATATTGTCATAGAAATTAACTACATAAAGAAACAGAAGAAGTCACAAAGTTAGACCAAAGTTAGGACCAAAAATGTACACATACAAGTTCTGATGTTAAAAGCTTATATTTCAATGACTATTTTCAGGATTTTATTTCATCCAGATTTACTAAACCGTATATTAAAGAAATTAAGACACTACTCAACAAAATATGAGATTTTGTTTCTACATGAGTGTGCATGTTGCCAATTCCTTTTACATGATATTGTAATGAGAACTTTCGTTACTTTTACTTGTTAATCATAATCATGCAGTTCTCTCTAGTGCCCACAAGATGGCGCCCTTCAGCTGTCTATTGCATTGAATCCGATGCACAGTCTATGGTATCACACAGTTTATAACAAGCAATGTTTTTTAAATTCAGTGTTTTAGACTCATAGCTGCAATAATTATGAGTTTGTTTTTCTTCCTGGTGTGTATACCATGTTGAGGACCAGTTTTGAATCCAAAATTCACACTATTTTGTCATGTATTGTCATAATTCTCGTTCTCAAATTGAAGCCATCAGTAGAAAATCCAATGCATACCTACAGTATACCTAGCTTCCTCTTGAAGCCAGGTACCGCAGCTTTAATGCCTAGCGTACATCGACAGAGAAACTGGGGACAACTAGTTGCAAGGCGGCTTTTGGCAACTGAGAGGAGATGGTGGGAGATGATCAGTTGCCGAAATCGGTCGATGTGCGCGCTCTTACAACTGGAGATGATCAGTCGGTCTCCAGTTCCAGTCAGTTGCCCGTGTTCTACTTTTCGGCAACTAGTTGTCCTCAGTTGCCCCGATGTGCGCGCTCCATGCACCGCTCCAACAACGTGTGTGTATTGCGTGTATTGCGAGCCCGCAACAGTTTGTTGTCAGAAAACACACTGTAGTTGAGGCCAGTTGCTGTCGATGTACGCGCTGTTATTCAAGAGACTGGTCTGCTACTGGGAGTTGCCCGTTTTCGCCAGATTGTCGATGTGTGCGGGGCAGCAACTCAGAGGTGACGGATATAATCAGTTGCCAGTCCGATGTACGCTAGGCTTAAGAGGACCTGTATTCATCCCAAAGTGGGGAAATTCCAGTGTTGCATACAGTTAAAGAGCAGTAGGAAAGAGGAGCTCACGGCACAAGATAAATGAACAATAGATATACTAATTAAAATAAAACAAAATCTCTAACTCTAGTATCAAAGAACAAGTAAAAAATCTCTATCTTGAAAATAATAATAACAAAGAATTATAAAAAAATAATAAAATTGGCTAAAGAAAACAAATAATTACGTGAATATTAGGCATAGCACAAAAAATGAAAAGTAAATATTTTTCTTTAGCTTAATGAATGAAATAAGTATAAAGGTTTAAAGCCTGTACAGATGGCTTTCTTATGAAGGCTGGATTAAAATTAGGGACCCCAGCTTTAAAAGAACCGGTTTTCGTCTCACTATGGGGTCATTGTGTGTGTTATGTTTTGTTCTGTTGTCAAAATCTGATAACGCACTCGAGTCTTGTTTGGTTTGATGTGGTTTTATTTTGTTAGTTTCTTTTCCGCGAAATCTGAGTCATCGCGGTCCCCTGCTGGTCCCTATGGGCTTCTCAGGCTGACTCACTTCCTGTACCTTTGTCACAAGTTTTCCACCAAGTGATACATGTGGTTATTGAGCCTACATACCTTAAGAACGATATGTAGGCGAGGTTATTTATTTGTATAGCACAGTTCCTACACAAGGCAACTCAAAGTGCGTATGATAGAAACAATTATATTAATAATCACAAAGATACAACTTTTTTTAACCTGGATTTGAATATTGTCACAGAAGAGGCCTGTCCCACATTTTCAAGAAGATTGTTCAATATTTTAGCTGCATGAATCTGAAATGCTGCCTCCCCATTTTTAGTTCTGACTCTGGGACCAGCAGGAGGCCAGTCCCTGTGCTCCTCAGAGTATGTGTCAGTATAAAATGTTTTCTAATAAGACAAAGACGGCCTGGTGTGGTTTTATTTTTAACTTTGACTCTTTCTGTTTCCCCTTTCATAAAACATATATTATTTATGAAGGGAAAAAGATAAGATAAACTTTATTGATCTCACAATGGAGAAATGTACAAAATAAAAGTTAGGTCCCCCAGCTTTAAGAACTCATGTTATTCTACAGCTGTGAAGTAAATATTCTGGAAACTGTCTCTTGTGGAAGTCGTGCAAATATTGACCCTGATTCTGTTCCACCGCGAGACGTCTCATAATCTCCTTTTAAACTGTTGATTTTGTTCATATTTCTAGTTTTTCTGCAAACACTGAATCTCGCTCCAGGTATTTACATTTCCAGCACTTAGCGTCCTTCGTGTCTGGTGTGTCATAAGAGCTGCGGAGGCCTGTCACTATAATTGTGACATACGAGTATAAGTATAAGTATGAAATCACGTGTGTTTTTTTGCCGTAAAACACTTCATTTCCCAATTCTGTTTTTTTCCAGCGATTCAGCAGCCGCTATTTATACCCGTGGCTGCGTTGGGGACTCACAGATTCTTGTCCCGTGTGAGAAGCAGATTTATTAAGGAGAAAAGGCAAATATTTAGATCCAGGATTGAGGCTGTAGACCCAGGACTGAGGCTGTAGATCCAGGACTGAGGGCTGTAGATCCAGGACTGAGGCTGTAGATCCAGGACTGAGGCTGTAGATCCAGGACTGAGGTCTGTAGATCCAGGACTGAGGCTGTAGATCCAGGGACTGAGGCTGTAGACCCAGGACTGAGGTCTGTAGATCCAGGACTGAGGCTGTAGATCCAGGACTGAGGCTGTAGATCCAGGACTGAGGCTGTAGACCCAGGACTGAGGCTGTAGATCCAGGGACTGAGGCTGTAGACCCAGGACTGAGGTCTGTAGATCCAGGACTGAGGCTGTAGATCCAGGACTGAGGCTGTAGATCCAGGACTGAGGCTGTAGATCCAGGACTGAGGCTGTAGATCCAGGGACTGAGGCTGTAGACCCAGGACTGAGGTCTGTAGATCCAGGACTGAGGCTGTAGATCCAGGACTGAGGCTGTAGATCCAGGACTGAGGCTGTAGACCCAGGACTGAGGCTGTAGATCCAGGACTGAGGTCTGTAGATCCAGGACTGAGGCTGTAGATCCAGGACTGAGGCTGTAGATCCAGGACTGAGGCTGTAGACCCAGGACTGAGGCTGTAGAATTATGTTTATGTTTATTATTACTGTTTTTTTTTGTATTATTCTTTATTTTTTCCTCTTTCTCTTTTATTATTTTTATTATTATAACTTTTTTCTCTCTTTGTGTTTGTTCTGTTTTGGGGTTGTACTTTTGTATTTTTGTTTGGTGTTCTTGTTAACTCTCCTGAATTGAAAATAAAAAAAAAGAAGCTGGAATTTCTGGAAGATCGACCAAGTATATTTCTAATCTGTTTGAATTCCATAACCCGCAGGTGTGGGTGTCCTCGGTGACGGAGATCAGACCAGAGGACCTCAGAGCCGAAGACCTGGACTCGGCCTCAGACCAGCTGCACTTCATGATCACTCCTCCCAGTAACGGACACTTGGCCCTGAAGAGCGCCCCCATGAGGCCAGTGCTCAACTTCACCCAGGCTCACATCGACCAGGGCCAGCTGCTATTCGTCCACAAAGGTGAGGGAGGGACTGTATGACCTAGAAGATTCTTTTAATAAGGCAAAGAAAGTACAGAAGCTAGTTCTACATAATTACCGGACATCAATCATCAATCAATCAATCTTTATTTATAGGGCGCTTTTCCTGCACAGGGCAACACAAAGCGCCTCACAGTCCACACCACACAATGCACAAATCATCACCATTAAAATACAATTAAAAACACATATGTAATTAAAAAGCATTAAAATCACATAAGTAATTTAAAAACATAAAAATCACACAAGTAATTAAAAACAATAAAATAGTTAAAAACACAAAAAGTTACAACAATAAATAACAAGGTGTGTTAAAAAGATAAAATTCTCTAGTTGTATGCACGGGAAAAAAGAAAAGTCTTTAACATGGATTTGAACATTGACAGAGAGGCAGCCAGTCTCACATCCTCAGGAAGACCGTTCCAGACTCCAGCTGCATAAATCTGAAAAGCAGCCTCCCCCTGTCTAGTCCTGACTCTGGGCACTAACAGGAGTCCCGTCCCTGCGCTCCTCAGAGTCCGGGCTGGTTCATATGAGACTAGCATATCATGGATGTACTTTGGTGCAAGGCCATGGAGAGACTTGTACACCAGGAGAGCTGCTTTAAAGTCTATCCTCTGGGCCACGGGAAGCCAGTGCAGAGACCTGAGGACCGGACTAATGTGGTCGTACTTCCTGGTTCTAGTCAGGACTCGGGCTGCAGCATTTTGAATATACTGCAACTGTCTTACTGCATGTTTGGAGATACCTGTGAGCAGGCCATTGCAGTAATCCAGCCTACTGGAAACAAAAGAATGGATAAGAATCTCCAAGTCTGCCCTGGACACAATATTTTTAATTTTGGCAATATTTTTCAGATGATAAAAAGCTGCTGATGTTACCGATCCAATGTGGCTATTGAAGTTTAAGTCAGAGTCCATTATTACTCCCAGATTTCTGACCTTATTTAAGGGCCTTAGGGAGAGAGACTGAAGGTGACAAATGACGGTCTCTCTTTGTTTCTCGGGACCAAAGACAATCATTTCGGTTTTGTCCGCATTTAGCTGGAGAAAATTGCATTGCATCCACTCACTGATCCGCTGGATACAGCGAAGGAGTGAGTCCACCGGCCCATGCTCTCCTGCAGTCAGTGAGACATAGATCTGAGTGTCATCAGCGTAATTGTGGTAGGACACTTTCATACTTTGAATTAACTGACCTAATGGCAGCATGTAAATATTGAACAGGAGAGGTCCCAGAATCGACCCCTGTGGCACTCCGCAGGTCAGGGCCATATTATCTGAGACATAGTTTCCAATCTCCACACAGTACTTCCTTTCTTCTAGATAGGACCTAAACCAGCTTAGGGCGGTACCAGCAACACCAACCCAGTCCTCCAGTCTCTGCATGAGAATCTCATGGTCAACGGTGTCGAAAGCGGCACTCAGATCTAACATGACTAAAACAGAGACTTTTCCTGCATCAGTGTTAAGCCGAATATCATTTGTTACCTTGACTAGAGCGGTCTCAGTACTGTGGTGTGGTCTAAAGCCAGACTGAAACATGTCAAATGAGTCATTAGATATTAAAAATTCAGTAAGTTGTTGGTAGGCAACTTTTTCAAGAATTTTTCCCATGAAAGGCAGATTTGAGATGGGACGGTAATTTTCAAGTACCGCAGCATCCAAACTGCTCTTTTTTAGGAGGGGCCTAATGACTGCCTTTTTCAGGGCCATTGGAAATGTTCCAGATAAAAAAGACATGTTTACTATTTGTGTCAATGAGGGTAATAGACTACACATAACAGACTTCAGAAATCTAGGAGGTAGTACATCCAGACTGCAGGTAGAGGAACTAAGACCTGTGATTATCTTTTTAACAGTTTCATCATTGACAGGTGCAAATTGAGCTAGCTCACAAAGCCTCACTGGATGTTGCATTGTTACTTGTGTTGTAGAGGTGATGGCATTTCTGATACCCTGAACCTTGTCTCTGAAGAACTGTGCAAACTCATTACACCTGGATTTGGAGTAGTGTTCTAATGGCAACTCAACAGGGGGGTTCGTTAATCTATTGATTGTTGAAAATAGAACACGCAGATTGTTGCTGCAGCCTTCAATAGTTTCAGAAAAGTATAATTCTCTTGTTCTACGTAGTACTCTGTTAAACTCACACAACTTCTCTTTTAAGAGTCTATAATCACCCTGGAGGTTGGACTTTCTCCACTTTCTCTCTGCTCTCCGGCACTCTTGCTTCTGTGCCCTGACCGGGCCTGCTTTTATCCATGGGGCTTTTTGCTTATTTGTGACCATTTTTACCTTCACAGGGGCAATGGCGTCCAGAACATTCAACACACTAGAGGTGACAGAGTTAAGCAGTTCATCTACAGTAGAACATGATGTGTTCTCAAAATGGATCATTCCCATAAATAGTTCACCCGTGTTTTCATTTAAGTGTCTACTTCTAACAATTTCATATTTAGCGGGTGGTCTGGTAGCAAAACACATGTTAAAAAATACACAGAAATGATCCGACAGAGCAACATCAACTACATTAACTTTTGAAATATTCACCCCTTTCGTGATAAGCAGGTCCAAGGTGTGTCCTCTGCTATGGGTGGGGCCACTCACATGCTGAGTGAGGCCAAAGGATTCAAGTATGGAACTCAGCTCTTTTGCGTATCTGTCATTAACATTATCCACATGAATATTAAAATCGCCTATAATGACTAAACCATCAAAATCTGTGCACACAACTGAAAGCAACTCAGTGAAATGATCAGTGAAACTATGGCATGACTGTGGCGGCTTGTACACAACAATAATAAGAATGGAAGAAGATTTCTTTTGTTCTATTTTAAAAGAAACATACTCAAATGATGAAAATTTCCCAAGAGACACCCTATGGGAGACAATACGATCTTTAAAAACTGCTGCTATGCCCCCCCCCCTTTTATTTTCTCGTGTTTCATATTCAAATTTGAAATTTGGTGGTGAGGCTTCTATTAAAACTGCATCTCCTGTATTATGGTCAAGCCATGTTTCAGTCATAAACATAAAATCAAGATCATACGAACAGATAAAATTATTAATTAAAAATGATTTGTTGCATAGTGATCTGACATTAAGTAGAGCAAGGTTAAAATTAATATCAGTGTCAGTGGGTTTAGTTGATTGATTACAAAGAACTGGAATTAGATTTCCAGAGTTGGACCGTCTAACTGCTGTCCTTCTTTTAAATTTGTGTTTATTCAAGTTAAAACACATTTCTGAGCTGGTGCGAGGAACACACACAGTCTCTATTGGTTTAAAAAGTGAACTCTGTTGTACTTTGTTAAGTTCCAGATGCATAACTGAGTCAGCACAGTTCAGTGGCAGGACTGTCGTTACACTGCCAGACGGACAGGGGTCAGTGTTTGCACCACAGTACTCACCCGGTGCTGGTAAGGAAGAGGAGGGGGGTGGTGGGGGCCGAGAAGCCTCGGATGTAAACAGTCACGCCCCCCTCGGGGAGCACTGAACAACATGGCGCAGGAAGTCCGTCAACAAACTGGTGCCGTATCTGTTCGGGTGCAGACCATCTGGACGATAGGCCACGTGACGCTTCCAGAACAGGCCAAAGTTGTTCACAAAAATAAAGTTAAAAGTGCTGCATGTAGACTGGAGCCACATGTTGAGCGCCACAACGCGGACTGTAGAGGCAGTCACCCCCGGTTTACAGTCGGGACTGGACCAGAGATAAAAACACACAACCCGGAGGACTGGAGGAGGCGGAACAGATTCATAAAATGCTTCTTTGTGACCTCGGACTGCTGCAGCTTCATGTCGTTGATCCCCACATGCACGATTACCTTGGATATGGTATCGGGCAGGGAGTGAAGCAGAGGAGGGAGACGGATGAGCAGATCTGGGACAGTAGCTCCAGTAATGCAGTGAGTGACCGCGTTAAAAAAGCGGACGTGCCTCACGATGGAATCTCCAACGATCAAAGTAGTCGGGGCGAAAAGTGGACGCGGGCCGCGGAGAAGGCGCTCGGTGTCCATGGCCAGAACCAGCGGGCTCATCCAGGGATGGGTCCGAACCAGGGCGCTGCTGAACACATGGAGAAGAGTGGGGGTGTTGATTCTCAGCTCCGGGCAACCCACGCTGTGTGCACGGAGACGCTGGAGCAGCGAGAGGAGCAGGCTCGGGTCGCTGCTGCTGACCCGGTGAAGGTAAGTGGTGGTGATGCACTGGGGTCAGAGAAGGGGAATGACCACTCTTTCGTCTGAGGACAGCTTCCTTTAAGAGTGTCTTTCTCGCAGTGGACCTGGATCCACGGACAGCAGTAGAGTTTGCTGCAGAGTCCAGGGGTTCTGCTGAGGGGGCTGGGATGTCAGCGGAGAGGGCTGCATAGCGGTTTGACAGGCTCAGGACATGGGCCACGGCGCTGGATGGCTCCTCGCAGTCCGCAGGCTCTTTATTCCGAACCGGGCACTTAGGTGTAGAACAGGAGGGTCCAGAGCTGACAGATCTCTCCCACACGACAGTGTCACAGTATGCAGCGCTCAGTGACATAAGCCGTGAGTGTTGCCCGCCAGCAACATCAAAAAGTTTGGACACGAGTGACTGTTTATCCTGCAGCTCTGCAGTGAGGCGAAGGACTTCTTTACGGAGGTCTGCAATAGTGGCACGGTCCCTCTCACGAAGCTCCAATGTGAGGCGACTAATGTCGTTCGTGGTCATTGCAGTGTCACTTTCCATGTCTGTGGTGCGCTCGTGGTAGCCTCCGAGCTAGCGCGTTTCGATTTGGTCTTTGTGTTAAAAGACGTAATGCTCTGGAACCATTGCATTTAAGATAATAAAACACTAGAGTGTACAAAAGACACTAATACACCGTAAAAACGTGTTTAAAAGGCTTTAAAAGGCTTAAAAGGGTGAACAGAGCAGAGACGTCAAAACGCGTGCTCACTCTCACTTCCCTGTGGTCATCATGTTTCTGCGATAGACTTTGTCAGAGGAGGCAGAACAGAGGAGTCAAGGCAACAGTAGTAGGAACGGAAGACCATAAATGCAAGACATGGATAAGAGGAGAGTTGATAGAAATCCGGGCGCACAGACCATCAACAGAGACGAGGGGGCCTTCACCTTGCCTCGTACTTGGGACTCACTCCTCCAGAGACCACAGCGGCGGGAACCAAAACAGTTTGGTTCGAGCTCTACTCATCACTTGTATGTGTTTTTAGCCTTTGTCAAATCCATGGATCAGCTTTATCAGACCAAAAAGTGAAACAGCGAGAACCACCCTCACTCAGTCCAAATAGTCGAATAGTGACTCACAGGGCTTGGATGGAAATTTAAATGTATTCTTTAGAAGTGTTTTTTATTCTTATTTTTATTATATCTTTTTGACTGTTGCACTGAGCCAAAGCAATTTCCAAGTCTGTGACCTCCTGTTACTTACGTGGCAATAAAAATTATTCTGATTCTGATTCTGATGTTTTCCGATGAGTTGAAAAGAGTACCTTGTGGTCTGATTTGATCACTACATGTTACTTATACAAGACAAAACAATATATTTAGCCACTCAGCTTTGAATATTCTCCAAACAGCATTAAAAAGGACTTAAATGTTAGTGCCATATTACCCAATGGACTCTGAGGAGCACAGGGACTGGCCTTCTGCTGGGACTCGGAGGAGCACAGGGACTGGCCTCCTGCTGGGACTCGGAGGAGCACAGGGACTGGCCTCCTGCTGGGACTCGGAGGAGCACAGGGACTGGCCTCCTGCTGGGACTGGCCTCTTGCTCCTGTTTCGCTGCAGAAGGACTTTATCTTCATTTTAAAGCCTTGTGTGTTTGTTTCAATCTTCTTTTGTTCTGCACTTTGAGTTTCCTCATTTATGAACTGTGCTGTACAATAAAAATTGCCTTATAACTGTTGACATTCTGGACCAAAAACCTGTACATTTCCTGTAACGATCCCGCCTTCTTTCCTGCAGGTGCCATGTCCGGAGGATTCAACTTCCAGGTTAACGACGGCGTGAATTTCACTCCACGCCAAATCTTCAGCATCACCGCCCGAGCTCTGGTCATCATTCTGGAGAAGAACCGGCCGCTCAAAGTCTTTCCAGGTAAATCGGTTTCACACACATGTTTTTTATGCTAGTTCTCTGTCTGTGGAGATGATAAAAACAGTCTTGCGGGAGTCGTCTCAGTCTGCACATGACTTAGTGCTGGTGAGACAGATGGTCTGGTTTATACGTCAGGTCAGAGAGGGGAGAGAGTGAGACGGCAGACTTACAGCCGTCTTTGGGGCTGGGAGCTCCATGTTTGTGGCGCTGAGGCCGAGGCGCAGACAATGAGGCTCTTGATCAACTTTGGCGAGTCCCACAGCGGCGTTTTTCAAGAGGGGGGTCAGCAAAGGGGATAGAGAGATTAGTTTAGTCCAAGCAAAAAAACTAAACGACTCAACTCCTGGAAACTTGACATTCACCGACATTTATGGACAACAATGAACATGTACGGACATTGGTCATCTGCCCCTACTACTACTACTACTGTTGTGATATAGGGTTGTACAAAAATACATTGAAATAAATTAAATTCAACACACATTTATAATAACTGTATAGATTGGTGCCTTGATGATCACGGAGGTTATGATGTAAAAAGTGAAATCCTTGAAGTAGCAGCTTTAAAACCCTCACACACACTTTACACACCTTTCTAACCATCTGAACTCACGACTGCTTAAGTGAGAGAGACCGGAGAGAGACCGGAGAGAGAACAGAGAGAGACCGGAGAGAGAACAGAGAGAGACCAGAGAGAGACTAGAGAGAGAACAGAGAGAGACCGGAGAGAGAACAGAGAGAGACCGGAGAGAGAACAGAGAGAGACCAGAGAGAGACTAGAGAGAGAACAGAGAGAGAGACCAGAGAGAGACTAGAGAGAGACTAGAGAGGGACTAGAGAGGGACTAGAGAGAGACTAGAGAGGGACTAGAGAGAGAGACCGGAGAGAGACCAAAGAGAGACTAGACCCACAACTAGTTGGTTGTGGGTTTGAGCGCTGCTGCAGCTGTCAAAAGTCGTGCATACACCGTAAAATACTGCTGCAGAGTCTGAGGGGCAGGAGTAGGACTGAAGGTTACGGGAAAACAGCGGTAGTCTTCTGAGCTAATCACTGTGGAGCACACAAGCTCTCTCTGGTCTCTCTCTGGTCTCTCTCTCCGGTCTCTCTCTGGTCTCTCTCTTGGTATCTCTCTCTGGTTTCTTTCTGGTCTCTCTCTAGTCTTCTCTTTGGTCTCTCTCTGTTCTCTCTCTGGTCTCTCTCCGGTCTCTTTCCAGTGTCTCTCTCTGGTCCCTCTCACCGGTTCCTCTCTGATCTCTCTCTCTCTGGTCTCTCTCTGGTCTCTCTCTCTGTTCTCTCTCTGGTCTCTTTCTGGTCTCTCTTTCCGGTCTCTCTCTCTGGTCTCCCTCTGGTTGCTCTCTGGTCTCTCTCACCGGTCCCTCTTTGATCTCTCTCTCTCTGGTCTCTCTCTGGTCTCTCTCTCTGTTCTCTCTCTGGTCTCTCTCTCTGGTCTCTCTCTCTGGTCTCTCTCACCGGTCCCTCTCTGATCTCTCTCTCTCTGGTCTCTCTCTCTGGTCTCTCTCACTGGTCTCTCTCTGACCAAAATGAGTTTGAAACCTCTGCGATGGACAAATGACTGTACACAAAATTAATTGAATTGAGCACCTGGAGGAAACCTCAGACTGCGGCAAAAGGCCTTGGATAAAGTGGAAGACAATGGACGCTAAACTGAATCAATAGCAAAATAATAAAAGAACAATCTGTATGTTATTAAAATACAGTTTTTTTTAATGCAGGTTCATCGACTCCAATCACGAACGAGAACCTTCAGGCCGTGACCAACGACATCAGCCACTCCTCCAACCGCAGCATCACCTTCAGCGTGACGCGGGCCCCCAGATTGGGACACCTGGTGTGGGAGCGCCCTGATCTGTCTGTGCTCGAGATCTCCACCTTCACACAAGACATGGTGAATATACAGCAGGTCCTCGTCATCAGGCAGAGACCACACCAGGGCCTGTGTGGGAGAAGGAATCATGGAAAGATAGATAGAGATAGATATAGAGAAACAGAAAGAGAGAGAGAAAAAGAGATAGATAGTTTCTTTATTGATCCCCCATCGGAGAAATGCATGTGTCCAGCAGCAGAAACACCTCCATCCATCCAAATAAATGCATAATGGATGGAAGAATTAGCAGCTCCAGTGGATTTCTGCTTGATCTGCTTGGTTAGGACCATGAATCCTCTCTGCTCTGGTCTGGATCAGTGTAAAACCATGAACACTGTACTGCAGCAACATTTACAAGAAAAAGAACAATTGTTAAATTCAAAACAACAACTGTTTCAGAGCGACTCAGGACATGCAGACGTTTTCATGTGTGGCGTTCTAGAGGATTTTATGTTGTTTTGAATAATATATCAGTCATTATTCACACAGCTGACTTTGCTTTTCGGACTGGACGGAAAATATGCAGCGGGTAATCGATACTTGCTGATGAGTGTTTTCTCAGCGTGAAAGTAGAAATGGTACAATGATTAAACCCTGATTACAACACGTATTTCACTAAAACTCAGTTGAGAGGACTGTATTGTGATTTTGTGTTTTTGAAGTGAAAAAAACATGGTATAACGAGTGTGGAGGGTAAAAAATGCTATAGGTCTGTAACTCTCTATGCTGCCACCAGAGGGAGGGGTAGAGTTCATTTAGGCTGTTTTTCCAAATTTGAAAATCATCATTTAACAAATTTATGCAGCAATACTTTTATTTTAAACGGCACAAAACTGCTCCGAGTGTGACGTCATAGTGATACAATGTCATCATACGGGGCTGAGACAGGAGATTTTAGACATACTGTACATGCGTTTAGAATAAATAGACCAGAGAGAGAGAGATATGCTTTATTATAGAGAGATAGAGAGAGACAAGAGACAAAGAGAAACCAGAGTGAGAGACAAGAGAGAGAGAATTTCCACACTGTGGGAAAAATAAAGGTTCTCTTATGTTATGCATGTTATGTCAGGTAATTCAGTGGTTCTAGCTTCTTTACACTCTTGTCTTCATACAAGAACCTTCTAAGCTTAGACATAATGAAACATAATCAAGTCTATACATTCAATGTTGTAGCTCAAATGTGTGCTGTGCTCAAATTTCTATTTAAACTTCCACAAATATTGACTGATTGAATATCCCACTCACTGTAGTCGTGTGTGCTTTGCCCTCAGGTGGATAGAGCTGAGGTGCTGTATGTCCAGTCCGCCGTGGACTCGGTGGGGTGGGAGGCCATGGACTCCATGAGCTTCTCCGTCACCTCTCCGCCCACGTCTCTGGAGAGTCAGATCTTTAAGATGGACATCTCCTACGAAAACACCGGCCCCCAGCACAAAACTGTCCTGCTAGCAAACACTGGTATGTCGTGTTTACTGAAGCTGCATTTAACGCTTACTAAGTACGACCAAAGCTGTTTTAGAATCTTGATAAGCAGTGCACACATATCTAAGGCTTTGTTATTGGAGCTAAATATGTTTAAAACCAAACAATGCGGCTGTGGGTGACTAAAAGGGAGGCACGTGAGAAGATCTGAAAACGGCAAAAACAACTGCCGTACTTTCCAGACTGTTTGGCTGACCTGGATTTTTTACATTTTAAAACAAAGAACATTTGTCCACATAGATAGCCAAAGATTTTCGTGTTGTAATTTAGCAGATAGACAACTTCATGAAGAGGCCTCTACAGCTTAACCGTTAGCTTCCATGACTCATTCACCGTAAGCTTCCATGACTCATTCACCGTAAGCTTCCATGACTCATTCACCGTAAGCTTCCATGACTCATTCACCGTAAGCTTCCATGACTCATTCACCGTAAGCTTCCATGACTCATTCACCGTAAGCTTCCATGACTCATTCACCGTAAGCTTCCATGACTCATTCACCGTTAGCTTCCATGACTCATTCACCGTAAGCTTCCATGACTCATTCACCGTTAGCTTCCATGACTCATTCACCGTTAGCTTCCATGACTCATTCACCGTTAGCTTCCATGACTCATTCACCGTTAGCTTCCATGAAATTACGTCATTTAACCAGAAAAGTACTAGAAAAATATTGATTACTACTACAGATTGCAGTGGTATAATTCATGCTTTGGAACCAGGTCTCAAATTGTAGAACAAGACTGAGTCAACTCTCAGGCTGCCTCAGTCTATAGAAGTCTCAGGCATTATCATTATTTAAAATTAGCAAAGACTTTTCCTAGTTTTTGTATTCTTATTGGGTAATTTGACCCGTCTCTTCTCTGCGCAGGTGCTAATGTTTCAGAAGGAGAGAGCGTCGTGATCAACAAGTCCAGCCTGGATGCTTCAAACCTCTTGACGAAGCTTCCAGTCCCGGACCGGAGCGCGTTCGAGGTCTGGTTCCAGGTTACGTCCCTGCCCCAACATGGCGTCATTACGGTCGGCGAACGCAACCTCACCGCGGAGAAACCCAACTTCTCCCAGTTCATCGTCAACAAGTACGGCATCACCTACCAACACGACAACTCCGAGACCAATCGCGACCGCTTTATCTTCAGCGCTTGGCTCAATGCGAAGGGTCAAACTGCGCAAAGGCCTGGTAACGGAGACCTCATCGAAGAGGCTTTCAACATTACCGTACTTGCCGTGAATGACGAGCCACCTGTGCTCAAGACTAAAGCTCCTAGTTTGAAGGTAGTTCAGGGAGACACTGTGTTCCTAACGCCTGAAAACCTTAGAGTTGAGGATTTAGACAACCCGCCAGAGGATATAAAGTTCATCGTGATCAGCAAACCGAATAATGGGTTTTTGGCTTTGGAGGAAAACTTGGAGAAATCAGTGGATTCTTTCACCCAAGCTCAAATAAACAACGGTAGCGTGTACTTTATCCACGATGGAAGTTCTGCGTCTGGGGTTTTCTACTTCAGCGTCACCGATGGCCATCACAAACCGATTTACAAACTTTTTAACGTGGACGTGACTGAAATTACCATCTCACTCGTGCAAAACAGAGAGTTGGTTTTGACGCAAGGCCAAATCTCTGTTCCGCTTTTGCCAGACAATCTTTTCGCCAAAACGAATGGGAAAAACGTCACGATTCGCTACCGGATCACAGCGCCTCCGCAGTTTGGGAAGCTCATGAAAGGTGATGAAGAGGTGACACATTTTGAGCAAGAACATTTACAAACGGGGAATCTGTCCTACCACCAGACCTCCCCTTCATCCGGAGCAGACTGTTTCGTGTTGACTGTCTACACGTCAGAAGCCGATTTAACTGAACAAGTCGTAAACATATCTGTGAAACCGTTGATTGACATTGATCAAGGTGTGAGGATCCCCAATGGTGTGGCAGTTAAGCTAACCCCTAGCTTCCTCAATGCTTCTCAACTGGCGAATATAACTAGTAGCATGCCTGTGTTTGAAATTGCTAAGTCTCCAAGCACTGGTAAGCTAATTCGGATGGATTCAAAACGCAAACCTATTCATACTTTTACTCATGAAGAGTTGAAGCAAGGGAAAATCGGATTGGAGCTAAGTGCAAACATGACTGGGATCCAAGAGTTGAACGACAGCTTTATATTTGTCCTGAAAGCCGATAGCGTTCCTCCAGCGAAAGGGGAGTTCCAATTTACCGTCGTGCCATTCGATCCAGCGCTCATACCCGCCACAAAGAGCCCCTCTGTCCCCACACCACCCCCAACTCACACTGGAGTCCTCACCCTGAAAAACGGAACCACTTCTCCAATAACAACCGCCTTTCCGTCCACGCATCAACCCAGCAAGAACCAGCAGAAGTACCAGAAAGGGCGCAACCGCTGGGGGAACAGGACTAGCGTTTTTGCCACCACTCTGGACAAACCGAAGCACGTGACGGGAGAGGAAGAGGTCGCGTTCAAGAACACTCCGGTTCGCGTGGAGTCCTTCCCGCAGAACTCTCCGAACCCTCTCCTGGTCATCCTTCCGTTGCTCGCCCTGCTTTTGCTCGTCATCATTTTTGTGGTGCTCGTGGTCTACCTCCGGCACCACAGACGGAGGAAGCCCAAGAGAGCCACCCCGACTCCGCCCACGCCGCAAAACGTGTCGAGTAGTAGCCGGTCCTACAGCAGTCCCACGGTTCCCACGGTGACGGTGACTCCTTTGAACCCGGGAAGTTGTTCTTCCAGTCCGGTTTTCGATCGCTTCCTGGCGCTCAATCCAAATTCCATCTATAGCACCATCGATTCTCCCGTGTTTTCCAGCACGTGGAGCAACGAATCACCGGGAGCGTCTTCCCAGATCATCACCGCCTCCACTCCGACTCTGCGTAAAAACCAGTACTGGGTGTGAACTTTGAAACTGAGACAAAATTTGAGAAAATCAATAATATGTGATTTTTTTTATCATAGCTTTACGGCTTTTTAAGTTCTTCTAATGAGACAATTAAAAAAAAGCTAGTACTGCTTAAATACCTGACATGTTTTGGTTAAAGCTTTTTTTGCTTTAATTGTCTTATTAGAAGAACTTAAAAAGCCGTAAACATAAGAAGACAGAATGAATTTTCCACATTTTTTATCATAGTCTGATAAAAGAATTGGCTATTTTCTATTCATACACTGCAAAAAGTGATGAAAAGTAAGTCAAAAAATTGCACAAATATGGCTAAATGTATCTTAATTTGAGCACATATTGAGTACATCAAAACAAGATTTGCCAATGGGACAATGAGTAAAATGATCTTGTTTTGAAAATATACAAGAAATGTGTCTTTTGGAATGAGAAAATAAAGCAACAGTCCTTAAAATAAGACTGAATGGCTTTGTCCCGTTGGTAAAATCTTGTTTTAACACAGTCAGAATGTGTCAGATTAAGACCAAAACCACTCGATTCAAGCATTTGTTACCTCATATTTTATCTTTTTTTTCAGTGTACATGTTAAATTCCGAGCTGAGATAGCGGATTATACATCTACATGGTTAAAGTTTGGGTACCTGACTTTTTGGATTCATAAATAGCACATGTTGTTTGCTCCAACGGAAAGAGTCTTGCAAAAGTCAAATCCTGGGAACAAATCAGATCACAACCTGCTGTTCCATTTTAGTTTCTGAAAGATGCGACAGAGACTAAAACAGATATTCTTGTTTTTATGGTAAATTCAGTAACCCAGCTTTAAAGAGCATGTACCTAATTTTGCTGCATGTGTTTGATTTGTTGAAATGGCCTCAAGTTATTTCCTTGTGCACATAAGTTCAAAAGACACTTGCGTTTTGTAATCTGACCGTGCAAGGTTTACTGTCAGTTTTCTTAGATACGTAAAACATTAAAAAGTTGGGTACCCGGGCTTTAAATCATGACTGTTGTGAATTGACATCATTCGATATGATGTTATTGTTGCAACGGAGGTTATTTACAGCAGAATTAGCTCAAAACCCTACCTAAAACGTCAGGTTTTTGGACTTTGAATCATGCCTATTGTGAATTGACACGGTTCTACGATGGTATTGTTACAATGCAGGTTACTTACAACAAAATTAACTCAACCCCTTTTTTTTTCCTTTTTAAACTAGCAACCAAAGTTGACGAGATTTGTTAAGTGGAATGTATGAGAGGTGAGCCCAGATGACTGAGTTTTCGCAGATCGCAGAAAGACTGTGGTGTGAGACCTCTGCATGGACTGTGCGACAATATCTCTATCTAACAAACTCATTTACATGTGCCTGTCTGTAAGGAATTAAATGTTGGATTTAATTAGAAATATATTTCAGAAGAGGCTGATTTGAACATAAGCTAGCTGGAGCCAACTTCCTTATGGGCATTTGGTTCGATAACATTAGCTTCTCGCCATAACAGGAGCACATGCAAATTAACGTGTTGCTAAGACGATTGCTAAGGCAAGCTGGAGTTTTCCCTGTGAAAGAAGACATCTTGATTGGATTCATACATATAACATCACAATATAATATATCCTATAATACTAGGATTTATTAAGCCCAAAAGGATGAGAGTGACTTTTCAATGTCAGTCAATAAGAGTCAGGGCGAGTTGGAGCAAAACTTCATCCATGAGCACTTCCCTATTGAGCGCCATTGAGCTAGGCGGGTTAGCATTGTCCATCCCTATACAGTCTGCGATTTGCCCTCTACCTTTCAAAATAACAGTATTGATTGGAACACATTTGGAAATTGTTTAGAATAGAAAATAAATGAGATTAGATTTACTTTATTAATCTCACAATAGAGAAATTCAAGCTTTTTTGAGACTTGATTATAACCTCATTTTACAACTAAACTTCTACCATCTCAAGAACACAGACGTAAGAAAGTGATTTGACTGGAGAAATTCCCAAAAAGTATTTGGAGGCAATACTTTTGTTGTTAAAGACAGAATCCGGTTCTGTCTTCGTCGTCCTAGTCGGAGGCATTGCCCTCACTAACAAGTTTGAAAACAGGGTATTTAGACAGATCAGATGGGGGTGCTGGTGATATTAGCAAGAATGAAGCTAAAACAACTCTTTTTGATGATCAATGGACAAAGTTTGAAAGCTAAAAAAAAGCCAATTTTTCTTTTTATTTCTATTTGAATCCCTCAATTCATTTCTAATAGTGTAAGTATATTGTACATGTTATTTAGACATATTTATCTTTTTATTCTCCTAAAACCTTTAACCTCAAGAGACAAAAAGCCACTGTTTTTGCTCCCCTCGTACTTGTTGTGATAAAATAGACCACATAATGAAAAGCCGGTACCTGCTCAGAACTGTGAATAGCAACATAACTGTACGGTCGTCATGTTTCTCATCGCTGTGTCCAAAACTGGAACCACATTTTGTAAGCTCAGGTATTTGATTTGTATTGCGGCGATTCAACGATGTGACTAAAGCCCCGTTTCCACCCGCCCTACATGGTCCCACTCTACTCTACTCTACTCTACTCTACTCTACTTCGATTGGGAGCGTTTCCAGTACCGGTACCAGCTGCTTTGGCCCTGGTTCTACCCTGTAAGTGATTGGACAGAGTGCTGCTGGAAGCTATGGTCACCAAGGAATGTCCCGGAATACTGGTTTGTTGGGGGTAGGTTGCTAGGATACGGTACCAGATACTAATGCACAATGGAAACGCAACCAGGTAGATAGGGTAAGGTGGGGCAGAGTCGATTAGGGTAGAATGGGTAGAGTAGAGTAGGGTAGGTAAGGTGGGGTAGAGTAGAGTAGGGTAGGGTGAAATAGCGTAGGGTAGAGTACAGTATTGTAGGGTAGAGTGGGGTAGGATAGAGTAGAGTTGTGTAGCGTAGAGTAGGGTAGAGTAGCGTGGGATAGAGTAGGGTAGTGTAGAGTAGAGTAGAGTAGAGTAGGGTAGTGTAGAGTAGAGTAGAGTATTGCAGTGTAGAGTAGAGTAGGGTAGGGTAGGGTAGAGTAGCGTGGGATAGAGTAGGGTAGTGTAGAGTAGAGTATTGTAGTGTAGAGTAGAGTAGAGTAGGGTAGCGTAGGGTAGGGTAGAGTAGAGTAGAGTAGAGTAGAGTAGAGTAGGACCAAGTAGAGCTGGTAGAAACAGGACCTAGACAGAGACCTCGGAAATGGCTCAAAATTGGGGGTGTCAGGACTTTGGGTTCCCTTGTAAAATGCGCTATAAAAATAAACATCACTTACTTCCTATGGCCCAGGGGCACGCTGCGGCCCTCAAACCAAATGGGCTCAAAAACTAAATTTTTAGATAACTGACAATATTACAAAAACATGTTTTAGTAATATCTAAAAAATAATATTTTTAAATCAATTTTTGTGTGTTTTACTCTGTTCTCTAATACATATAATTTTCACTTTAAAAACAATTAGTCTCCAATCAATTAAATATAAAGGCATCAAAGTGCAGCTCTCTAAGAACATCATAACAGAAAGTTTGGACACCCCTGCTGTAATCGTCCAAAAAAACACTATTTTGAAAAAGGTTCAAATGTTTTTCCTCGTGTCGCTGCTCAGAGAAATGTGGACGATGGTTTTATCTCGTGGCGTTTTGTAAATAGCCTTTATGACTGAAATAACTACTGATATTTATATAACTTATTTTATTGACAATGTTACGGTTCTTCGGTGCGAGTCACACTGTAGCCTTTACTTTAGACCACTGTGTTTACTTGGAATATCCCCATTTATTTATACAGTATTTGTAATAAACATGTTTTATATACAAAATACTTCATTCTCTGGTGTTTTATCCAACTATTAGCATAAAGGAGGATATTATGTTTTATTTTTGTCCTTTCAAAATTATAACCAGACTCTTTACTTTGTCCCTTCATGTTTTTAGACTGTGAAATCATATTGTCAGGAGAAAGTATATGGTGGAACGTGTATGACTGATAAAAATGGTTTTGGGCTGTATTTCTCAGGTGGGTAAAATGAAATGAGCCCAAAATGCAGAAGTGCAAAAATAACAAATAAAATCCAGTGAAAACACAAAAAAGTAACCGAGAAGACGGACTGACGACAGGAACTAAAACAGACAAGGAACGACATTGACGGAACAGGGAGTGACACACGGGACTAAAACACACTAACGAGACGCAGGTGAGACACATGAGGGCGGGGCATGTAAACAGGAAGTACAACTAAACCAACAGGGATTCTAAAAAACAACCAAATAAAACAAGAAATAAACCTAAACTATGAATTGGGATTTAGTGTTTTTTCCAAATTTGAAGATTCCTGGACGCAAACACAGACGTGCAATTTCAAAACATTTAATATTAACGAATTTATGGGCAATACTATTGTTTTAAAAACCAGAGTGTGATGTCATAGTGGTACAATGACATCATACTGTTACAGGACTGAGACGAGGGGATTTTAAACCTTTTTGTATATTTTCTTAGCGGTAAAATCTCTGCAGACATTGGAATAACATGGAAAGAGCTCTGGAGGAATTGAACCTTCATCGTGTTGTGACATAAAAGAAAAGCAGATTTCACATTTTTCTCCTTTTACTTCATCACGCGGCCGCCGCTTTCGACACCGGATCGCCACATTTCCAAACCCTCTGTAGTATTTCACACGTCTTGGTCTTTGCTGAAACACTAGAACCGTAAATACATCTGTGTGTGTAGATGTATGAGTGTGTGTGTGTGTAGATGTATGAGTGTGTGTGTGAGTGTGACGTACTCTGTTATTATCCACATGATTTGTAAAGGTTTTTCCATTGATCTCTGTGTGTGTGTGTGTGTGTGTGTGTGAGAGAGAGAGAGAGGATTGTGTGTGTGTGTGTGAGAGAGAGAGAGAGAGGATTGTGTGTGTGTGTGTGAGAGAGAGAGAGGATTGTGTGTGTGTGTGAGAGAGAGAGAGAGAGAGGATTGTGTGT